GGTAGTAAAAACGGAGATACAGCGGCAACTCGAGAAAAACAACTTGTTCGGTTTGCATCAGCATGGATTTCGAGTAGATCCTTTCAGTTTCAGCTTTAATTTCAGTTTATTTGAGGGGAACATAGGTGTTGAACCTTTGAACACCCTATTTGTTAGAAAAAAGCAAATGATAATAAAAAATTGGAAATGGAAATATCAAGCAGCTCCAGAATTTTTTTTATATTCGCAAAGTTTTCAAAACCAGACATATAAACGAACTGTTCCAATTGTTAAAAAATCTAACTTAACTAAAGTACAGTAGTCTATCTATGTATAATTTGTGCTATCTGAGTTTCTGAGGGAGACGGATTGAATGCCAACACCCACATTCAACGGATCTGGACAATAATAAAAAACAAACGTTACTGAAATACAGGCAATAATTTAATAACATTACCAAACCCTTCTATACAGTCTTTTTTTTCACGGTGTCAACGTTTTCCGCTTACAAAGCCTAGTTCGCCAATTTGCCCCATCCTTTACCCAGCCAGTGGGAGAAGAATTTGGCCGGCATTCCAAGTTTGGCGAATTTTATCTTCAATTTTTATTGATGGCCCCGAAGGTTGGTCGTTCGCGCCAGTTCGAAGAAATCCCCAAACCTAAACTAACAGTCTAACCCTCTGACGAGCCTGATGGCTATGATCATATCCCCTCTGTACTACCTATAAAAGGGAGGAAATATTGTAGCCTTTCCGGGCGTCTCTCATAAGTTAAGCGTATTTATCCACCGACCAGCCTGGTCGCTCTTCTTTGTACGTTCTCCAGTATGGTATCATCTTGTTTCATCCAGGAATACCATGCCTAAAACAATATTTCAGCACTGGTCGAACAAATGTCCCAAATACTTGGCCGAAAAGTCCTTCGTCAAAATTGAGGAAGGATCTTCTAAATACGCCTACGATACCCATTGCCTTCTTCAATACCTTGGCATAGTGAGACGATGGTTTTGGAGTTGACGTCATCCGCCCACCGAGGTCTGTTAACTCGCTGAGTGATTCCAGTTGGTGACCTCCTATAAAGTAATGAGATTCTAGTCTCAACGGTCTCTTGTTGCTAGATCGTGATCGTATAAGATGGCATTTAGTAAGACTGAGGTTAAGACACCACTCATCACACCATTTTTTCAGGCGATTTAAATTGTCTTGTAATTGTACCGAGTCTTCCGGCTTCTCTATTGATTTCCACAATTTGAAATCATCGACAAACATTACGCGCTCGCAGTTCAGACAGTTTAGGCAGTCGTTCACATATATTAAGAACGAAATTGGACGCAGAAAGCTTATTTGCGGAACGCCAATGTGCACGGATGCCCAATCCGATTTAGCGCTCCCGATGCGCACACGCTGAGATCTGCCGTAAGAAACTCGTCTAACCATTTCAGCAGATTTCCATTCACGCCTATTTGACGTAGTTTAAACATAACTCGTGTGTGCGGAACACTATCAAGAGCCTTTCTGAAGTTAATGTACACGGCGTCTACTCGTAAACTCATTTCAATTGATTTCGTCCAGCTCACCATGGATACTATCAAATCATCCGAACTGAATTTGACGAAGAGCGTTTGCAGGCAGACCTGACCCGACTCGAGCAGTGGTCACGGGACT